GGAAGGAATCTCCACCCCAAAAATCTGTTATTATGTTCTTCACGCGTATGTGTTGACAAACAAAATTACCCATTAACTATCAATGCTGTACTGCTTTAATAATAATGTTATATTCTGTCTACATAAAACAGGCTTCAACAATCTCAAAACCAGATATGGCTCCTGATGTTAATGCTGGAAATAATGTTGCTGCTAATCCATCTTCATCTGAAGCTGACATTCATACACAAAGTGTTTCTACAGTTGTTATGGATCAAAACGCGCCCTTTCATTGAGGTACTGTTAACTTTCAGTGCTCGAGTTTAAGTTAACAGAACGCAAGGATTTGGGACTCAACATCTTAAGTACAGCTCATTAAAATGTGTTGATTTGATAAACAAATTAGGGCATGGCTCATGAATATCAAATATTTGGATGCAATTTTGCAAATGCTCGGTTTCTATTATGTTTGATGATATGGGGAAATTGCAATTCTAGCTGTTCACTTTGATATGTCGTGCAACTTGCATTATTAGTCTTGTAAAATTGCGTTAATTATAGCTAAATGATGCCACATTATATTGTTTATGCACCTTAAGCTTAACTAGATTACTACACGAAGTATACGTTACAAAATATTGACTAGTCAGTTTGCGGAGAAATAAATATCCAACTAAATAAAAGGAAAAATATCAGAAATTGGAAAAGTTTCTAATTAATGATGATAGAAAATTGTCAGTTGGGTGAAATATCCACTGAATTGATGATAGAGATCACATTAAGAAGTGTATCTCTAAATAAAAGTGTTCATTGTGTGGTTTTATGGTTATTTCAGCTGATCTTGTATTGAATTTCCTTGTGCAGTTTCTCCAACTTTTTTCAGAATGAAATTTTGCTCGAATCAAATTAAAGGTGCGCATCTTAGAGTGGTGCAGTGAGCGGTTTGACATTATGTTAGTCTTGATAAGAAAAATGTATCTACTTCCTGATATTAAAAAATGTAACAACTTGACAAATCCCTTTACTCTTAATGTTTTGTAAATTCTATATATCTCACTTCCCCTTTTTATTTTAATGCATCCGAAATAATGCATTTTCGCAGTACTTTATGTTAAATGCCGAAGTGTTATGCATTGTTTGAAGAAAATGGAGAAATGATGGGATTTCATTTTGTTTAGATGCAAACCAGATATAAGATTATCATCTACTAGCTTTATGCTTATTCATTCATTGCCTATTTATTCAATTATAACAATATTTCCTACCATTGAAATTGTAAAAAAAAAAAAGAAAAAGAAAAAGAAAAAGAATCATTGTGCTGATATGGCAATTTAAAACATTGTGTGTTCTTAAGAAATATATATATAGTTGACAAATATATTTGTCTGTAGAAAATTCCATATAAAGAGTTATATTAACATTAAGGAAGAATAAAATTACTTTCCCCTTTTCTAGTAACATTTGGTACAAGTTATCGTCTGGGACATGAAGTGAAAGCGTCGTACATAGATTGGTGTTTAGTTGTAGGACAGGCAAATAGAACCAGGACAAGGGCTCATCTGATTTGACTCTAATTTTATTAATGATCAAATGGAGCCTCAATAAGCTTTAGAGAAATCATATACATACATAAATTAACAAGCATGTCATCCGAAGAATTTCGTATAATTTTTCTGAGTTGCATATCATACAATCGTGTTTGAAACATGCACACTAATGATAAGTCATATGCGCAATAGTACATGTAAAAATGTACATAAAAATTATTATTGTATTTCAGGAAATTACAAAAATGCCATTGGATAATTAAAAGTTGACGAAATTACCATAATATAATCGTGCTACAATAATTACAATAATATTATACGACATGCACATTAATACGTAAGAAAATGCACATTATCTTACCCGTATCTTTGGCGAAATGAAGAAAGTGTCTTCGCTTGAAATTTAGAAGTAGACAATATTAAAAAAATGCATATGCACTTTTGATTGATAGGAGCATATACCCAGTGGCGAAACCAGGATCCCAGCACGGGGAGGGCCCAGATTCATCTTCTTTCGGGCCTCCGGCGGTATCGGAAGGGCGCTCAAAGGGCGCCCTTCCATTTTCAGCCCCTTCGATTGCCTCAACCTCTCACCAAAACCCCCAATTTTTTTTTTTTGGGAGGGCCGGCGCCACTCCGGCCCTCAATGCGGTTTCGCCACTGCATATACCAAATTTAAATCATTGATATATCATATTCAACAACTATAATCTATTTTTATTTATTTAATCAATATCTATAACTGTTAGCAATCCATTAAATTAAACATCATAAATTATACCCAAATGTCACCTAACTTTCTAAAAACCCATTCTATTAATTAAAACAAAAACTGTTGCACTTTATATTAATTGAGTAAATTATTATATATTTTTGTATCATACAATAGTTATTATTACAATTAATAATTATATCACTAAATGATATATGAAGTTACATAAACATAGAAAATTATATTGTAAAACATTTTTTTCTAGTTATTTATTATAAAATCAATATTGTATTTTTTTATCTGGTTAAGTGATTGTATTTAAATAAATTAATTTATTTTAATGTCATAGTAAAATTCCTCGCATAAGCAATTGTTATAATAAATTTAATATTTTTCAGCAAATTAATTGGTCATGACTTTCTCAAAATTACAAATATTAAATTATTTGTTACATTTTATGCAATCAATATAGTGATTCATATGCAATCAAATAATTACGTACTATTTATTTTAACCAATTATCATATTTTAAAAATTAATAATATTATGTAACTTATAATTTCAATATTATATACATAAATATAACTTATAATGCTATGTTTAAAATTTAATATCATTATCTAACTTATAATTTAATATTATTATATATATGTGCATTTTATCGAAACTACATAATCCCAATACTTTTCGATTAATAATTAATTTTTTCCCATAAAAACTCAATGTTTGCTTTTGTGTCCATTCTCCAAGTCCCGATTTTGTTCCCCTCCAATCCCGCTGCTGCCCCCGCCGCGCCCACTGTCGCCCTGCCATCGCCGGCGTGCCAATCCTACTCCGTCATTGTTCCTGCTCTCCGCAAGTCCATAAACCCTAATTCCTCGCATCGTATTGCTCCTCTTATCCGTTAAGTCGCCACCTGACAGCTGCCACACTCGCCGGCCACCACCTCCGGTCAGTCTGTTTCTCTGTATGCTATTATATGTGTTAGAAGTTTTAATCTGATAATTTAAAAGCTTAATAAAGAAAATCAGCTTCCGTGGAACGGGTTCAATGAAAAATCCGTGTGGATTCCTTCAATTTGAATAAGATAAAATAAGGGGATGTAGGAAAGGAACTTGCTTCAGTAAGGCCGAGGGGAAAAATTGCTTTTAGAACTTGTAATTCTGAATTCGGTCACGGCGTGGTCTGTCTTGGTCGATAAGCAAACACGGCCAATTTTTTACATTGAGCTCGACTCTCAATTGGTGGGGCATTTTTGTTTACTCTATAGCTATTCACTACGTTTTGTGAGCTTTCACTTTTCCGGTGCCTAAGTAGTGTTTCACATGTATGCCAGCATGTATCGATTTTATGGATTTCCTCTAGTATAGTTAATTTCCTTCAAGAAGTTGAACATGATCTAGAAGCCTACCAGCCTCCTTTTTGTCTAATCAGGTCTTTTTGTTAACCTTTTTGCTTTGTCTCATGTGGAATGTAAGTAACTGTCAGTTTTTTTATGTGTAATTCTCGTTAAGAGTTACCTATTTTGTTTACCAGTGCCCATGGCTCTTGCACTTGGCAAACTGACCATCATAGTTGGTGCAGGTTAGTGATTTCTCTCTTGATGACATTAGTGATTACATAAACTATATTGAATTTTATGTTAGCTTTTTTTTTTTTAATTGCCATGTGT